TTGGTTTGGATGTGTTGGTTACATCATGGATTATACAGTGGTGTGACTTTGTTTTGGATTGAAATAAAACCCTTAATAGGCCAAATATGAGGGTTGTTACATTAATAAATTTATTAAAATAAAAAAAAATTATAATTTTCGACAGAAATATCTGTCAAAAATTTCCAACTGATATTTCTGTCGAAAATAATTTAGTTATGCAACATTCCTTTCCAACATCCATGGTGGACAAAGTTCATCCTAAATTCTTTCTCCTTAATATTCTCTGTCGAGCCATCATGTGTATTATGTTTGCTTTCTTCTATTGAATTCTGCTCTTTAGATACTTTTGTCTGGGCTGATTGAAAAATGGTATTTTCTAAGCTTGTTCTTGTGCCTAAGCACGGCTGTAATTTTTTAGTTTGTTGAAATTGTTTGGTGAATCTTGTGTTATGTGTAATATTAAACCCACACATATGCTCTCTTTTTATGATCAAGGGAACAATTAAGGGTACAAAAAATCAATCAAATCCCCAATTTCTAAAATGGGATATTCCCCTCATTCCGCATTTACATATACTAAATGCTGGATATTTCTCTCATTCTGTATCTATATATATACTAAATGCAGGATATTTCCATCATATACTAACGTAGATTTTCAGCAATCATTTTTTAAGAGCTTTCTTTTAAAATAAATTAATATATTTTTCATGTTATTATTGATTTCAACTTTTTTCTCATATACTAACCATGAGAGGAATTAATTTATTCATAATTAAAACTTTAATATTTTACTCATAATTAAAACTTTTTTCTAAGATATATGAATACTATTCAGCATATTAATTTCTTGTAACTAAGAATTAGTTGATTTGACATGTTTTTCTATCTCACCTATTCCAATTATTCTGATTCCGTCTTTAGTCCGTATAACAACTACTAGTAGTAACTTTTTTAATATTAATGCTTATGAAAAGAAAAAATGAAAATTCTAAATGTATATATAGATTTGTACACAAAATTTAGTAAATAGAGTAGTATCTAACAAAAAATGTGTGGAAGACACTCCAACCATTTTTTCTTAAGAGGTGCTGACAACTTTGCCTAAAATGATTCATGTTGATTAAGAGCTATGGGTCCTCAGCTTTTATTTTCACCAATGTCGTTCTTACGCCCTAAATTAATACACCTCTTTAGTCTTCTTTATTATATTATTATTATGTATAGGAAAATACTTCAAACAAACCTCATTATTTTTGTTTTCCTTTTTATACATTTACAAACTAAAAACTAAAGTAGAGATTGAATTATATTATTGATAAAAGAAAGTGTAGAGATTGAATCCGCAATAAAGTCATGATTTTAATTGGTTTAGTTGCTTACATTTATATATATGGTTGAATAATGACGGAAACAAATATGTTCATATATACTGGATATTGAAGGAATATTATATGATATCTCCAAAATAATTTATTCAAGTAGATAATCCTGCATGTTGTATGGTCTGCTACATACTTAACAATAAAAAGATAATTTATCTGTCATCATTTCTTAGTTCCTTATATATAATACACTTTGTGTATATATTTTTAAAAGCATTGGAAGAGTATATACGACAGCATGATAAGCAGATGCAGTATATACTACGCCATCTCAACATTGACCCTTTAAAGCCAACGCCTCCTGCACCGAGTACTACCCCAGATGATCCTGATCATGCTATTGATGATGCTTTTGATGACATAGCAGAAGACCCTTAATTAAGCTTCTTTATTTTACTTGTTTTAGGACATTTTATTGTATTTCATATTACTTTGTTGAAGTTTAAACGTTTTATGTTATTATTGTGTTTTTAGCATACTATATTGACGCTTATATTTTATATAGTTTTCACTATAATATAAATTTACATCGATGAGATTATGTCTTTTAGTATGTTCTAGTTTATTATTATACATTGTGTAATAAATATATTGTTAATTTTAACAGGTATAAATTTATAATTTAAAAATAATTTAAAAATACTGGTTAGCATTAGCGATCGAAATAATGCGTAGCTAATTCAAGTTTTTAGCGACCGAAATAGTGACCGAAATAATTCGTAGCTAATTCAAGTTTTTAGTGACTGAAATAGCGATCGAATCTATTCGTAGCTATTTTATATTTTTAGCGACCGAAATAGCGACCGAATTTATTCGTAGTTATTTTAAATTTTTAGCGACCGAAATAGTGACCGAATTTATTTGTAGCTATTTCAATTTTTTAGCGACCGATTTAGAGACTGATTTTTAAATATTTTATTAAATATAAAATAAAAAAATTAGCGACGGAAATTGCAACCGAAAAATTCGGTCGCAAAATTGGTCTCCAAAGTTAGGAGACCAACATTTTAGCGACGGATTTTTTATGCCTACCGACGGATTTTTCGGTCGCTAAATTGCGACGGAAAAAATTTCGGTCGCTATTTCGGTCGCTGAATGTAACAGCGACTGAATTCGCCTAAATAGCGACTGATTTTGGTGGTCGCTAAAACTTGATTTTTTTGTAGTATTAATGGATGGGTGACCTTCTAGAAAGTTTCCTAAAAAGCTTGCGAGTGAGGGCAAAACATGCTGAAAATTCTGGTGTTGTTTATGGGGATAGTTGTTGATCCTAAAGGTGGCTAGGAATTTTAGAAAGGACTACCTATAGAGGATTCTGACTGATAAAAGGTTCTAAGTTTTCCAGAAGACACTCGATAAATTTAGTCAATAATTAAGAGTAGTTTAAAAAAAGTATACAAAAAAATGTGTTACTAACATTTTTCATTTTATCTTTTATATAATGTGAAAACCTCTTATTGGAATTACTCATTTTGCTTCATTTTATTTGAATTTTAAGGATTTTGCAAAAATCTTAAGATACACAATTAATATCTTAAATTTCATAAAAAAAAAATATTATGTAATTTTTTAATATGCAGGTCATTCATAATAATTGTTCTATTTATCACCCACTATGTAATTCTGTTAAAATATTTTATCTGGTCCTTTTTTTTACTTCTTTCATTTCAAAATTTTGGTTCTTTTAACTTCTCATATACAAATTTAGAAATATTTACATTTTTATGTCATCATAAGTTGGTACAAATAGTTTAGGGCTCGATCTAAACTTGTATTTTTCATGATACAGGTTCAACATCTCCTACAATCATCAAAATCCTACTTTGGTAGACTTCTATTGATGCTTAGTTTGATAACTAAAGTCATAAGTAAAACTAACACTATTGAACTTTGGTTAACCACTAAATGGACAATGATACTTAGTTCGATGATCATCAACATGTCATTGACCCCTATCCGATAGTTGTACGGATGTCACTCCCTATCTTATTTTTACTCATAATATATATACACATGCACATTTATACTAAATTATTCTCGTTCATTACTTCTCCACTAAAAAATAACATTAATGATCCACGTAATGATTCTTAATTAAGTATATTAGTCATTACTTGTCAGCTTATTGTAAACTTTGGGACACTACATGATCCATGTCCATAAAAAAATGATTATATTTTATTTTATTTTTTACAACAAATATCCTCAATTAAAATCATTTTTATTAAATGAATAAGTAATTGATAGAGTAAAAGTCTCTTAATATTAGAGATAATTTTAGAAAAAAAATATAAATTTATTACAAATTTAATATTATTAACTAAATTAATCAACTATTTTAAAATTCTAATTAATTATGTAATTAGATGTTATAAAAATAACCAGATAAATAATTAAATTATCTATAATATATGTACTCCTTTTATATTTTTCTCACTCCACAATAAATAGTTAAAAGCATATAAGAAAAACATATTAAATGCTTCATTAATATTTTAAAATAATCAATGCAGGACATTTTTCTTAGTTAAACAGACATGAATTGTTAGTATAAAAAAATTTACATTCTCGACAAATAAAAAGTCACCATTAATGTCTTTTAAGATTATCTTGTAAAAGTTAATAAGTTCATCACACATTCTTACATGGTTGTTTGTGATTAGAAGACATATTGTAAAATTACTTAGTTAATAACCTTTTTTTTTTCTCCTTTTATACTAAAACTTAAACAAAATAAAATGAATAAAATATAAAATATCAAGCAGATGGTTCAATCACACGAGATTGTTTCAATTTCAACTTAATCAACATAGACATGCAATTATATTAAATTTTGATAGAGTTTTGTCACTTATGCTATTCTTATATAAGTCAAACAAAAATTGTCTCATATTGAGGATATATGCGTCTCTATAAAATAAAATATTACTCTTTCAATTTCAAAACTTTGGTCTTTTAACTTTTTAGTTTTATTTCAAGACTTTGAACGTTTTAAAATTTAAATACATATTTATGTGATTTTTCCTAATTATATCTGCATATTAAATGATTAATCAATAAACAGTAAGGTTAGTTTTAAGTGGAATTTAATTGACAATTTAACCTATATATATAAATTAAATGTTTTTAATGTGTAGAAATCTAAATAACCTAAAGTTTTGAAATGAAATGAGTAATTTTAAAATAATGAACACAATAATATTTATTAATAAAATTAAGAGTTTGATATGTATTATTGATATAAAATAATTTTATACTGTGAATTGATCAAATATTATTGTTATTACATAGGCTATTTTTTTAAAAATTAGTATAAAATATATTTATACTTAACAAAAATAAACCATATTTATGTTAACATATTTTTATAGATTAATCAATGAATCTATTGCCAAATTTATAAGATGTTTCTTTTCTGATAGATATGATGTGATTATCACAAGTGTCGTTGCTCATAGGGGGCAACAAATCAGATTCCAACCAACTTTTCCTGGTCTGTGTGAGCATAGCGACACGATTGATTAACAAGAGATGTTGATCATGAGCACCCTCAACAATCAAACGGTCAAGATGGAGCGCCACTAAAAGTCTACAACCTAGACCCCATATTCAGGGGAAAAATCACTCTCTCTCACGCTGTCCTATTATATATGAGTTTTTATTAACTCTTGGGCATGGCATGAGTAGTTTCTCATCTCTTGTATATCTATCAGCCATGTCCAACGATCCAAGATCTCTGAGTTACTCCTCTCTCACCCGTTTCACCAGGGCGATTACAGGCTCAGAACCTTGGTCTTTTCTGTGACCCTTTTTTTCTCTCTTTCTCAAAACACAAACTTTGGTCCTTTTTTTTTCTTTTTTAGCGGCAGAAAGAAATGGGTATGGGGGAAAAGAGTCCAAAGAGCTTCCATATGCAGCACCGGAACCAGCAGAAGCAAGAGTTCAGAGGGGTCCCAAAAGGGTGCATGGCGATTAAAGTGGGTCAAGGAGAAGAGCAAGAAAGGTTCGTGGTGCCTGTCATGTACATCAACCACCCTCTCTTCATGCAGCTTCTCAAAGAGGCTGAGGAAGAGTACGGTTTCGACCAAAAGGGTACCATAACAATCCCTTGCCATGTCGAGGAATTCAGAAACGTTAGAGGCTTGATTGATAGGGACAAGTCCCTTCACCACCACCACCATGTTGGTTGCTTTGGCTTCTGAATTTCGATCCAAACAAAGGTTTTATGGTCACGATTTTGTAGTTCACAATTTCCCATGATGTCAGGAATTACAATAAAATCGTGGTCGCAAATTAAAACCTTGGTTAAATCCATGAAACAAAGAGTTGGTCTTGGGCTAGAATCCACCACCACCACCCTTTTTTTATTTATTTATGATTTTCTCATGTAAATTCCTAGATTGTTAGGTTTTTTCTTTTTAGTGTTTGGTTTATGTGAAAGGAAAGGCCTTAGTTAGGTGATGGCAAGGACAACAGAATGTTGTTTCTTCCAATTGTACTTAACTTTTTCTATATTGTTAGGAGCCGTAATGAAAAAAAGAGATGCTTTGCTTTTCTTTTCTTTTCGTGGAGAATTTTTTTTCACGCGCTGGAATAATTGGTACACCACTCTTTTAGAAAGAGGAGAAATTGAAAAGAAAGGAATTGACGGTAAGTAGGGCCGAAATTTTGTTTCTTTTCCTTTCTTTTGAGGCACTTAATTCTCCACGATCAGTTTGGTATCTATCTCACTGTAATTGATGGGGTTAACTATTATGTTCTTGGTTATGAAAAATAATTACTGGTGCGGTTCTTAATTGTGCTCTGATTATTGAAATTGTGGGTACTGGTTGTAGTTTCTTTCTAATCAATTGTGAACATTTGTACGGAACTTCATTAATTCCAATTAGGTGTTTATTATTATTATTTTAAATTTTTTTTGTGAGGCTTGTATGTGTCTACATATGAACAAGGATGGAGAAAATGAAGTTTGCATGAAGAAAAATTGGAGCTAAGCAAAGAGGTGGGTGTGTGGACCATTTCTGTGTCTGAAATCTGAAATGAACTGAATCACTGAGATATCATAGGAATGAGTGAAGGAGCAGAGTGTTTAGATTTTACTTCAATTCCCTCTATTAGTGCTATTGAATAGGGTAGGTGAAGGAGAAGGACAAAGTACCGTGCAGATAGAAAGTGTCAGTGGGTAGGTGCATGACTTCCACGTTCGCTAGTGTTATTTTTATGTGCATCATAGGGCACACATTCAATTCAATTCAATTGCAACCTTTGTAGTTTGCACCCTTTCAAGCTTGGAAGTTGAAACAAAAAGATCCAAACAGGGAGCAGATTTTTCTAAGTCATATTATTTTATCTGAGGCTATGCTATGCTTAAGGAATATCATATTTGTTTTTAAATTATTTTTTTTTTATTTTCCACTATATCATCTTTGGCTGCTATCGTGTTGTGAGTGTATGTGAAGTAGTGATATTGACTAATTCTACATAGAAGACTAGAAGACAAACCCAGCCCCACATGGAGGTCCACTATGCCTTCAATTTTTGAATGATTTTTCATCCTTGATCCACACAGGTCGAAAAGAATCAAACCAGGGGACGGAAAATCATAAATCGGGTACATTAATTGACTTCAATACGTTTTTGTTAGCATTTAATTGAAGCCATGAGAACTCTCTCGAAGGATTCCATGAACCAAAGAAAAATAAGGTTATTTTAGGGAGAGTATTAATGAATGAATGACTTGTATTTAATGTTATTATTTATGGTATTTGTATACTCCTAATTGACTAGAAATCAGAACGTTGATACATATATTTAAATTGTTATTAATGTATGTTTTTTTAGTTGTTTTTTTTACTATTATTTACTTTCATTATAATTTGTAATAAAAACTTGAATATTCAATATTTTTTAATAAGATACATGTTTTAAACAGTGAATTTCAGAATCAACAGTGATTAATTAATGAAAAAAAAATTAATAACGGTCAATGAGAAACTCTATGATGGACTTTTTTTAAAAAAAAAAGTTATGGATTTTTTAAAATTCAAAATATGAATGATTTAAAAATAAATAATTTCAATATAGACTAACCTTTCATAATGACAGCTAAATAAAAAGCTATCGTGGTATAATTTTTAAAAATTATTATAAAAGTGAACTGTAATTTGTGATTAGATAATCATAATATAAAAATATTTTAAATCATGAGTGCATACATTATTTCCTCCACAAAGTATACACAATTTAATATTTGACACCTCAAGTGGTGTATAAATTTTTAATATAAGAGAAAAATAAAATAATAAATATAATTAATGATGTGATCAAACCAATTCATATAAGGAATAGTATTTTTATTCTATGAAAACAAATTCTAATTTTGAGTTTTAAATTCAACTACAAATTAAGGTTTTTCTTACAAAATTTTTAAGGAGAAGGAAGCTATTATACTGTTACATTATAAGGAAGGAAAACTTTCTTAACTCAGAACACTCTTACACCACTTGCACTTACAATATTACTTTTTTTTTCTATAATAAAATCATGAATAAAGGTGTGCGAGGAGATGAGACAAGTCAAATTAGACTTTGCTTTAAATAAACATAGATTTCTCAAACTTAAAACTTCATTTATTAATTATTGAATTGTAAATTTATTTAAAAGATATTATTTTGTAGCATTGTTTTTCAAATAATTAAGTTGACAAACATATATCTAAATAGATTAACATACCTTAACTTTTATGTAAGGTAATGGGTCTAATCCTTAAATACTAAATAGGTCACAAATATATAATTAAGTTCGATTATTATAATTAAAAAAACAATACAATAATAATAACAATAACATATATATCATTATAATAACAACATATCAGTTATATTTACTTGTTTGACTCAAATTAATGTCATTTTAATAATTAAGGACATTTTTTAAGAAATAAAAAACATTAATATAATTTACTTAATAAATTAAACAAACCTAAATTAATTAAATTTAATGGAGGTCATGCCATAAAATTCTCAACGGATTATCTAAATTATTCACATCCCACCTCCACCAGACATGTGGATTCATTACTCTTCATATGTTTTTTTTATAGGCTTAAACTCTTTAAATTAAAGAATAAAAAACCTACAATATGATTAGCACCCGGGGGTGGCATTTTCATCTCTCTGCTCTGAAATTGTTAAAAAGTCAATCCCACTGTTTTAAAGTGTGCATTGTTCATCCTTTCATTTATAAAATACAATCAACTAAGTGCAAAATATTAAATTCTTAAATCAATGATGGAGTGGAAAATACAAATGTTGAGTTAACATCTTATGGTGTTGTTAGATGATGTCTAAGTCTAATGCGTTGACATGGCACTTATGAGGGTGAAGTAGCTACGTTACAAGATCTCCATTTCTCCTACACTTTTTTTCTTTTCTTTTTCCAAGTGAAAATCTCAGGGGCACTGATGGCAATAAGATAGGGGTAAAAAAAATCATCTGCTGTGAAGAAAAGAAAGCATGTGACACAACAAAAAATATTACATATAGTGACATACAAAAAGTATTATTATAGATATAATATATGTAGATATATACCTATTTGATATATAGTTACATACAATTTTAGTGTTAATTTTGAATAAGATTTAACAACATATTTTATGTGTCACTATAATCTATACTTACACTTTTAATAATATATCAATATATATTATATTTATTATGTCATTATAGGATGTGTGTCACTATATGACAATTTTTAGTGATGACCATTAATTATCTACATAGAAAGTTCAAGATGAACACTAAGTTAGAGGTTTGTTAATTAAGCTAAGGGGCATTATAAATCCTTTGAATAAAAGATGAAAAATGAGAGAAAGATTTAACTTTGCAAGTTATAATTAAGGAGGCGTGTTGAAACAAGCTTTGTGTTCTCTAGGTCAAAGATGGGACAAAATCCTCGTGAGTATGGTAGGGAATGCTGAGCTCGTTACCTTATGAATGAATTTCCAATATTAATTGATTTAACAAATCCAAGTTAGGAACTGTTTTATAAGATTTTAGATCAATATAGCTCAACTAGTGTGAATATGAAAATTTATTATAGAAATGAGCCTTTTTGAAATTTATTCTCACTTAGGTGTGCTCAGTCACTACTATATTTTAACTCGTTAGTAACATTTTCTTGCTTATATTTGTTAAAATATTACTATATATTAAATAAATTGGTTATTTTGTAAAAAAATTTGAAAAATATCATTATAGATAGAATAATATTTTTTATTTCAATATTATTCTTTTCAATTATTTTCAAAATTAAAGTCACATATCGAGTAAAAAAATGTCACATAGATTATTTTGTAACATTTTCTTGAAAAATGTTACTATAATTACTTCTAGAATCAAAGTCTCACATCAAGTAAAAAAAAGTATATTTCTCTCATCTCTAACTATTACCCATAATTAAAGTCTCACACTGAATAAATAAATGACTTATAAAGAGTATATATAATTATATAGTTATACTTAAGATAAATGAACTTTGATATTTGATATATAACTAGTAATGACTAATTAAGAATGTCTTTAATCTTCTCTTGAAGAACTCATAGGGATTTAGGAAGCATAAAAATATAATAATTGATAATAATATCTAAATTAAAATTAATTATTATTTTATAAAGTTAACAAAAATTTAGGAACATCATTAAAATTACAAAAATACTACTTTGATAACATTTGAAAAATGCTGCCTAATTGTATAAAAATGTTATTAAAAATCTTTAGCAACATGAACTATATACAACATGTAATAATATGTTGCTAAAACATTTTAGTAACATTTATACACAATTTGGTAACATTTTTCAAATGTGACTAAATGCTCTTTGTGTTGTGGTGAATGTGAATGTTATTGGTCTACATAATATCATCTCATGTCATATAATTTTTTTTTAATAAAAAAAAAAGATGGAGCTGCGTACACCAATAATAATCATACACACAATTTCTACTTTAATTTTAATTTTTCTTGTGTATATACACATTTTGCACTTGTTGAGTGTTGCTTGATTCGGTGATCAAATTTGAATGAATTATTTTAGTTTGCTTCCTACACTTGATTTGGTGCGCCAATAATAATCTTACACATGGCTCCAATGTCACTTATTTTTTTGTATAAGTGATGTTGTACTCTATTTCAGGACCTTTTTTTTTAAGTGGTGTCACCATCCCCCAATGGGGACTAGGTTTATATATATATATA